AAGATAGTCTTACATGCGCGTTGATCTACATGGTAAGTACTTACCTTGATCTCGTCTCCGAGTTCTGTTTGAATTTTTTCGGCGTGGATAACATCTGGGCCGTCATACTGAAGCGATATTTCCTGGACTGATGTTAGCGTCTTGGGCCGAGAGATTTGTGTAGGACCAGGATTACAAACGCAAACCCAGCCAGCACAGCAGTCGACCGTGCGCCGGGAGGGATCCGAAAAAAAAGGACGCCAGCAATTGTTGTCATCAAATTCATATGTAAGTAAATGAGGATGCATTACTCCCTGCAAATTTGCGAATACGTTTCTAACATTCAAGATACAACCGATGTCGACCAAAGGACACAGACTATCTGTGGCTGAATACGTTTCACCAGTGCATGCGTTCCATAATGTGACTCCGTCTGCAACGCGCGTCGACCTGGCGTTACTTTGTTGCATTACATATACAGTGTTACCTTCCGGAATTCCGGAGCCTATCACCAAATAGATGTTTTCGTTTGTTGATCCAAGCACATTAGCATGAATTTGTAGCCACCAAATAAAATTGTGTAGAAGGATGCCATGCTCTTCCCAATCTCCCGCCCCTATGTCAAGAAATTCCTGAGACGTGCACCAAACATCGAGATTTGCGCATCCAAACGTTTGCCAATCATCTAGGAAAGGGATAAGGCTCACAAATCGTGCAGCTCTGAGTAACGAGTCTATGCCCGGGGGGGGGTTTTGAGGTAACAGATATCGACAAATAAGAACAGCGTCCCCCTTCATGTTATTTCCGAATACTGTTACAACGCGTTTCGGGATTCGGCCATCGACTGGTCGCTTGACGATCTCATTTATGTTCTCCAGAAAAATCCGAAGCTGTTGGATCCAGTTTGTTCCGTAGCGTATCAGGCTTTCTTCCTCCAGAGATGATACAATTGTAGGAAGTTTGACCGGCGCCGCCAAAGGAGGGCGCAGGAAAATTGCAAGATGAATGTACATGTCGAACTCTCTGTCTTGCACCCCAGGCCCATCGTTCACAATTCGCGGAGCGTTAATACGGTTGCGAGTGCTGAGATGCAGGACAGGCGTTCGGAGCTCAAATGTCCCTTCTAAAAATCCTTCAATCCCACCGTTGCAATACAGGGTTGTGAATGGAATTTCAACATCGCCCACAAACGCACGCCTCACCGGGCTTTCGTTTTGGTGATTGTCGCTTTGTCTGAGATCGTATCCTGGCAGGCCACTTAGAGCAGTTTCAGAGAAGAGAATCAACCTCAAACAGTCGCCCACCTGCATCAAATTGGTTGGTGAGAAATCACCTGATGTTGGGAGAAATGGCAGATCTAGTGTTTCTTTCCAACGAGGTGTGTATCCCATCGCGAGCATGGTGCGACGGCGATGCTCCTGAAAGGTAGCAGAGACAAAGAATCCTGTTTCACTGGCCAGTCTCGCTTTGGCATCTCGACTCGTCGTATCCATCGAATCTATTGTTCCTGTTTTTGATTTGATATCAACCTGCGGTCTTTCTAGGACATGGTGAGCAGAAACAACTTGCACAAGAATAGAGCAGTCGTTCCCCGGCGACGCGGCACTTGTGCGTCGCTGTCGGGGAGGCCTCAATGCACGCCGCCTTCGTGCTGTGAATTCCAGGGCAACATCAACTAGCCCACGTGCACGCAGCTGCGGTAGAGGAGTTCCCTCGCTCACTATCGCTGACAGGGGGGAACGAATATCATTCAAAGAGCGTCCGCGTTCTGTAATACATTCCTGAACTCGTCGTATGAATGCAAGCGCCCCATTGTAGTCCTCACAAGAATGCACATGGCGTCCGTTCGCCTCATCAGCATCGATGGGCTTCTTTCTAATATATTTACGCCACATGTCGTCCTGCAGAATCAATCCTCGTAAATAGGTGTTTGTGGACGTGGCCGCGTCCGTTGCAGGGAGAGGCTGATCAAAGAATGTCGGCTGGTACATCCGAAGACGCAAAAGCCGATGTCGAGATGGAGAAGCAATGCGATTATAGCTCTCCAAGGTGACACCAAGCGAACCGCTACCTGATACATGGGTGCCACAACCTTCAAGGGGTGCCCTGCATTCGCTTTGAACCTGACCCCTAGCCGCACGGAAAATGATGCGCGCGCGTGTTTCGTCAACACGAAATACTTCCGACAACCCCAAGCTCATGGTACGTTGCTTTGTGAGTCGATGCACTAGGGAAGCGCATCGTGGGTCATTCGGATCAAACAAGTCTGAGTATCCAATCATTTTTGATGGATGATTGATAGTCTTTGTGTTCAAATTACTATCACTCGCGGTAACAGAGTTGAAATATGGGTCTGAAGTCCCGGCTCGTTTAGACTGAAGCCATGAAGTTGTCGACTGATGACTTGGCTCGCTTGGTCTCGGGGGTATATTACAGATTCCAGCAAAACGACCAGCGGAGGTGTGTGGACTGTCGACCCAATTCTGCAGATTGGTCGTCCAATGAACAGAGATTAACGCAGCACCGGCAAGCTGTCGCTGTCGAGCTTCAAACACAGCCCCATGTCTTCTTATGGATGATGCTGGGATTGCATGAAGCAACTTATGATGTAGTCTGATATCATAGCAACGCCATCGAACGGCGGCTATTACCCCACGAGTCCAAGTGCCGGTACCCCCCTGAGCTCTGTGTCGCCAGCTGCCACCCGAGCACGCCTTGCAGATGCAGCCCAGAAGTTTCGTGGTCGCTCCCTCCATAACATACACGTCGACATCTTCTCCGACTACAAATTTGACGTCCCACTCGACCTCGGGAGAAGTAAACTGGAACCAGTCAGCTAACGGCGCAAGTGAATAATTGTTGGCTGTGTCGTGATGCGGTGACATGCCCGGCACCGGCACGAGCAATCTTACGAAACAGAGATCAATCGCAAGCCGACGTTGCCACAGATGAATTTCAACCTTTGCAGGTCGCCTAGCGACTCTGAGTTTCAACTTCTGGTCGAATTGAATCATAAAGGCAGGCCACGCTATGGGCCTAGGCGACATGGCAGCAACTTTGCGGTCGTTGACCTTCAAAATAGCGTAGATCTGGTACTGGTGCACTCGACGGCGACGCATCACTTCTTGTACTGGCAGTGTACGATCGTCACTAGAAGTAAGCTCAGCAGTGGTATACAGCTTCAGCACAAAATCAGAGGTCAGAACGAGGGATTTGCGACACCTTCTGAAAAGGACCATCAAGGATTCTCGGCGCAATTTGCCACTTGCGGGAGGACTATCTTTNTGAGCTGAGGCGAGCAATGCAAGTCGAGGTAACATTGCCTCGAAGTCACTCAGCATTTTTTTAATCGGACATGGCCGTGGTCTTCTCGAGCTAGACTGATTTGAGTGATGAACATTAATGGCAACGAGTTTTGCGGGAGTTGAGATGAACCTCTGGTGCTGGCGAAGGCCTTTGAGTTGATTCCAGGTGGTATATAGAGCCTCTGCGAGTTCGCTCAGCGTCTGTTCTTCTGATGCAAGTAATTCGAGAGTACGAAAGCACTCAGTGCTAAGCTTGAAAGCATCTGCCATTTCACTGTTTGACAAGCAAGCTTCCTTTGTACATGCTCTCTTTGCCAGGGCGTCCAGCAGTGTCTGCAATCTCAGCTTCAGATAATTGCTTGCCTGTACTTTGAGATGGCGATGATACTCGCCATAAAGCAAGCGTAGCTGCGAATACAGTCTATCCTCGGGACCAAACAAGGGGTGGTCAAAAAGGGCCACACTTGCGAGTGAAATCTGAAGATCTGCCCCTTGCACGACGCCTCCAGAAACAGATTCATCGCAACCAGGCTGCACATATGTCCTGAGGTAAGAACATCGTTTTCTCAGCGTGTCATATTCAGCCGAATGATACAGTGGTGGTCGTTGATGATAGTGCTCGAGCGGATCCAAGCCTGCTCGCAATAATCCCTCGCGGGAGTATAGACTCTCTAGTTGCAATGCAGTCTCCGCGCTTGTGACCGCATTCCCCCGGATTGATATAGATTGAGAGACTTTTTCGTACAAGATGCGTTCACTCGCCCTGGCCTGGCCGAGTTCCAGCAACAGGGAGGCTAGTGGTGGGGGTACAGGAGTGTATATTCCAACCTGTGCTGAGTATAGCAGCATAGATGCCGTGGATGCAAACAGCGACTCTTCATGTCTGGCAAACCGAGACTTGAGAGCAGGCTCGCGTAGCCCCTTGTACCCCAGGCTACAATGTTGAAGCATTCCGTGTTGGCAACTCATCGCTAAATAAGTGCATGAGTGCCATGAATGAACAAGTCTTCTCAGGGTCGCCTCGCTGGGAGAAATACGTGTACACTCGCTGCAACTGGCATGTTCAGTGCTGGCTAAAAGAAAGTTCTCAGCGAACATGGACGATAGAAGAAAGACCCGACTTGACTGAGATACTTGGACCAGGGTATCATTTCCGTCCAAGTCAAATAGTCGAGATGCGTCCAGTGTACCCAAATCGTCATCCGAGCTCCCGTCGCAAAGATCCGAATTCTGGAGAAACTCGCCCCCCGCTTTTCGCCGACCTTTGAGATCTGTGTTGCGACTAGAAGAATCCTTCGTGTTTTCACGCGTGACCCTTCTATACCGAGCGCGATCGTGTATGCGGGCGCGCGCGAGCTCAAGGGCCGTTGATGATGATTTTGGACTGCTCCCCATAGTCTCGCACAACCGTTCAGCGTTTTCAATGATTTTAAGGCCTTGATTTTTAACGAGATAGTAAACTCGGATAGATTCGTTCTCTTCATGTGGCATAACGAGATAGTAAACTCCGACACGGGGAGGCAGCCTAGTGGGGCTGCCCTGCCGTGTGAGGGTGAACTACCGAGGTTACGCAGTGGCGGTACACCGGCGTCTCTCTTATCCTCACGTCACCTCAGCTGCCGTAGTATACGGGGGCCGGGGCTACTGGACGAACCCTATCGCAAGCCAAGGTCGAAGCCTAGCGTGGTACCTGCCTCGATGTCGCTCTCAATTTGTTGCCAGGACCTGTGCGTTATTCTGTGGTAGAAATCGACCAAAAACTTGGCGTTGGCATAATCCTCGGAGGTTGGGAGCGGACAGGGGCGCCACCCTGAAGTGGGTGCCTTAGGCGCGTGTTTCCTCTTCGAATTTCCACGCGCGCGTGACGACAACGGCGACGGCGGCGGCGGCGGCGGCGGCGGCGGACCAACCAAGCCCTACTGAAGGGGATCGACGGGGGATGATGCTGCGAGAGGTCGACAGACATCAGAAAGGGGCCGAGGGGATCAAACGCGCCCCACCGCCGCCGCGCCCGGCTTTGGCCATGCGCGGCGAGTACCAGAGCGAACTCAGCAGAACGCGGCGTGATTCGCGTCCGAGTCCGCCGTCAGGCCCCACACACACACACGCCGTGAGCTGCGCGGGCACCAGTGATGCACGAGGGCCGCGGCGCGCGCGCGAGGGGCAAGTCCTGCCACCACGGGCAGCCCGGAGCGAGGCGGTCGGGCCGGGCGACAACTCTGGTTTTAGAATATAACTATTCGCCGTATGGTCCCTTCGAGGCTAGGGTCGCGCTAGAATCGACCGGCCAGATCGCCCAGTGCATCTCACATTCCCTTACTAGTAACTAGAGCAAGCTACTAGGGGCTCCCCTACTAGGGGCTCTAAAGCGCCTGTGTAGCTCCGAACTGCCGCTGGTGCTTGATATCGCCGGGCTTATATTTCTGCTAGACTTATATTTCTAGGTCGCTCGCTTTTTGCTATTGGAAGGCGCGCGCATGCTAAATTCTAGCCCATGAACAATGTGGCCCCACTCTTTTGAAGCAGCCTATGCAAGCCGCAACTCCATGCAAATCCAGATCACCCAGGTGCGTAGTACTACGCCACGCGGCAATTTTTCCTTTTGTACACACCGAGCACATTACTGGCGCAACGCGCCTTTGCCTTTTGGCGCCGTGCATAAATTCTCGCGCATCAAAGATATCGCGGAAGCATCGAAAGCAGAATACGCCGGGAGTTGTTGTGCATTCTAGTAAAGCAAGGTTTCGTAAGCAGGAAGTACACCGCTGGTAACCAGGTGGTTTTGCCCAGGTACGAAGATGTGCTCTTTCCTGCGATGTACTCCATTTTACAAAATACATTTGATTCTGTTCAACAGCAAGGACATAATCCTGGGGGGGGTGCAAGGATGCAGCCCCACGTCGCGGTGGTGTCCAGGTGCATTCGCCAGTATTGTGGTTTAGATAACACCTACAGCAATATATTGCTCAACGCGGACTATCGATCCCCGGTGGCGCTGTAGACACAGTCGACGCTCAAATAGGTCGGGGACGATCTCGACATCATGCCGTAGCTTAATGTCATAAAGCTGACAAGCGAGGATGCTTCGCCACCAGCACTGTAAGCGTGTTGCTTGTTTTTCACATCGATCGGTGTCTTTCTTTTGTCTACGAGCTTGAATTTTCCACATTAGTCGGCCCAATTCTCTCCTAGATTTAAACCCTCTATACATCCTAGCCAAGACCACACTTGCGTAATTCTCCCTGACACGAGTCCATGCCTGGAAATCAGCACACTTCATCTAAATATGATTTATCCAAGGATTCTGTGGCAGACGCTGCTTGCCCTGGTGGTATGCATTCCTAACAAGAGCCCGCTGTCTACGAACATGGTTGATGGCTTCTAACTCTGTTTCAGCGAGGAAGTTCGACTTGGTGACTTCCATCAACTTGCGATCACTCATGCGATGCTCGAAAATCAATTCGTCCGTGGCAAGATTATGATAGCAAATCACATCTTGCGCAGGATCGACGTACATTCTCCAGGGTGATGCCGATACACCATTATGTGCATGAACTATATCAAGCGCCTTTTCTAGCTCCTTTAGACCGACATACCCATCATGGTCACTGTCTAGAGTATGTATCACTAGGCGAATTTGCTCTGCAGACAGGTCGATAGGCAAATCTTTGACAAGTGACCTAAATTCATTGTGCGATAGAAACCCGCTGGAATCTTCGTCATATTGCCGAATGAAATGCTCCATGACTATCCCCTTTTGGAATAAAATTGCCTCCATCTTTATAAGCACAATGGAAGAAAGTGCCTTGAGATTTCTCTCACGCTCCATGCTCCTGGGCGTTGGAGGGCGATAAAACTCTCGTTTGATTCGTTTGAACTCCTTGGAAACATGGTTCTTAGATGCACCAGAATCTAGCCATCGTCGAGTGGCAAGACGCTGCTCCTCAATGTACTGCCTCTCTATTGCCGCCCAAGCGGCATGAAAGCTTGCCGCGCGGTCTTCTTTATTCTCGGCGATGCGTTTTGCCCGTGCGTCTTGCTGCACAGCTAGTTTGACACGGTCATCAGCGGCGTGTTCTGCCTGGCGCCTACGAGTCTTCCATGCCAGAGTGTGCAACTTGTCTGAGAGTGCTCGCTGTTTGCCATCTTCTCGCTTACTTCGCTGGTTTTGCTCGTCGGCCATGATTGTTGCCGCCAGCTCCTGGCCCGCCCCCTGGATCATTGCTGTTAAGTAGATTTGATTGCGGATCGAATCTTCTTCTGCGGTTCGCGCCAATTTGACAAAGTGAACATGAGAGTGCCATCCCGCAAAGAAGCGCTTAGCTAGCAACTTGCGCATTAACTTCGTTGCCCCATCTGCTTGAGAAGCGGCTTTGATCCAATCGCTCCACCGTTGTATTGCGTCTCGCCTGTATACACACGCCATGGCACGCCGAACAAGGAAGCTCCCATGGGAGACGTCGACTGCACGTCGACGAAACGCCCCGGATATGTGACGAACACGACGCTCGTTACAACTCCATCGGTGCCAACGTAAGATGACTACACGGCGCACCAATGCTCGGTGGCCGAGAACAGCAGCAACTTGTCTTCGCTCAAACGAAGCACGTCGTTCAACGGCGTACAAGTTCCACCACGAAATTAAGGCTCGACACTTGCGAAGGAGCACTATTCTGCGTTGGATCTTAACGATGCGCATTTTTTTGCTTAACTGGCACCAACCACGAAAGCTGCGACATAGCAGACTCTGTTTTCGAAGTTTTACTGCTTTTTTCATATTTTGTTGATGAATGTAGCCTTCAAACCAACGGGCAGTTGCATCTTCCTGCAGTTGCAAGTAAGTTAGCTTTGACAAATCTGGAAGTCGCTTCCATAATTGTGATCGAAAGGCTTCCGTAACTTGAGGCGTGCCGATTAGCGCCTCGCGAAAAGCCGTGAGTTTGACCATATCTGGAAGATGGTGTCCAATTTGGCTCACGGCAGTAAACTCTGCATGAGTTGTGGCTGCGAGCGAGATCATACGTATCACATCGACACGGGGAACAATATTGGCATTTGTTGTCGGCAATGAATAAAGCCGAAAAAATGAGGTCAGTAGCTTGATCGGGTGGCTATGCACGTGTCCGGTGCTATCAAATGCATAGAGAGAGCACACGACTTCTCTCCAATCAACGCGGTTCTCCTCAGCGCCATCAAAGCAGTGGTAAAGTTGCATCAACTGATGATGAACTGGTACACGTCGTTCAAACCCAAACCCATTCGCAAGCGCACTTACCTACAATGCATAAGTTGAAGAGAAAAAAATCTGCGATGTGACAAAGTGCATCAATACGAACAAATCAGCTCCAATGGTTTCATGATGCTCTTTAAAATGACCTGGGCTGATCTTCCAGAGTATGTTTTCGACGCATACACATCGGTGCGCTGCATGCTGTCGGAGCGAATGCAGATATCGAAGCAAGCGCCACTTTTCTTCGTGGCGCCACTCGTCGGCACGGCTCATTTGCCGCTTGCAGCCCTCTTATCATCCGAGACAGGCGATCCTCCCGAGGGTCCGAGGGTCTCGGCTGAGGTCTCGGCGCCTTCGTCCCCTTAAGTCGTGATGTCTCCTGCTGATATTAGGGAATCATCACTACTATTTGAGCCGATCGATGGCTCAAGACGTTGAGTGGCAAAAGGGCTGTATACAACTAATGCGCGACCGGCTCAAATAGCAGATATTAAGACTACAAGATACAAGATCAACCTTAGTATCCGTCTATCATTGAACCATCCGACGTCGCTACCCGCTCTCCCGGCCACAGACGCCTCCGGCTGCGGGATTGCGCGACATCATCGTCTCGCGGCGCGGATAATTTTGGTGCTTTGGACATGTCATAACTCCGTGATGGCGCTGAGATAGCGCACGCGGCAGCTCGCCGTCGGAGAACGATAGTCTTCTCCGAAGCGCTGATAGTCTTCTCCGGCTTTGCAGCGGCACAGCGTCGCGACGTCGCGCGCCGCGATGCTCTGGCTGCTTCAGGGCTCGCGTCCGGACCCCGGGCCGGGCGCAGACTAGGCGCCAGACACACATTCAGCATTTTTCGGCGCCCGCGAGGCTGCCCCGAATCGACTCGTTTGAGCGCCTACGACACGGCACAAGGGGCCGGTTCGGAACCTGGCGCCCGGCGTCCGGCGGACGCGGCGGTCCGGACGCGGCCCGGACGTGCCCCGGACGGGCCCCGGACGCGGCCGGACCAGTCCCAGACGGGCGCCGGACGCTGCTAAATTCGATTAAATCTACTAGTAATGTGCCGGGGAGTGGGGCCGCGCGCTCTCGCATGTGCCTCGGGACCGTCCGTGGCCAGGCCACTGCGAAGACGCCGCGCGCGAAACGGTCCGGGCGTCGTCGAAAACGCAACGGCCTCGTCGGAGCGTTCTCTTGAGACGGCTGGCGCGTGTTGGACGTGTTCCGGACCTCGAATGCCTGCTTTCGCTGGAGGAGTTGCGGAGAGTGTTGCTACGAAGGCCGTGTCTCGCGAAAGCAGGCATTCGCCACCGTCGGACCACCTTACGGCCTCGATTCCTCGATTCTCATCGATTGGCGGCGGTCTTTTCGAGCCAGTGTGCGGCGCCGCGACGCCCCTGGACGTCCAGAGCGGTTCCGATGCCCTCTCACGACCGATCACCGGGGCTTCGCTGGCCCGCGCGTCATGTGAACGCGGGGCTTGGCAGCTACAGCTTGGGCGCCTCCTGCCAGCGCCTCGAAAACGACTCCAACACGGCCTACAGCGACGACGCGCCCACGAACGCGGACTGGCGCTGTCGTTGCGTCGAGACATCTTGTCTCGACTCCAGAAGACGCTCGGCCGTCGAAACGGTGCTCTGCGCGCCCGTTTTCCTGCCGTTGGTGCCTCGCCAGTACACCCTAGCCGTACTAAACCAGTACAAACGCGTCGTATACGGCCGTATATACTCGCTTCGGCGCCCTGCGCGACCGCCTGGGGCCCGAGCGGACTCCCTGGGCTAGCACGTCCTTAACAAGCACTACGTAAAACCCAGCAATCTGGATTAATCAGGCTATGGACGATCCCCGCGACTGCATTTTGGCTCGAGGGAGGGTGTGCGTTGGCACGATTTGGGAGAAGGGGGGTGAGATTAAGACTGCCAAGTTTCAGGTCTGAAGACCATGGGGTTGGGCGCGCGCGCCATCGTCTAAAAGGCCATAATATGTGCGGTGTAGTGAGGGTGAGGGGTCGCATCGCCGGTAGCGCGGCCTCGGGCCGAGACCTGTAGGCCGCCGGGTAAGTCGTGGAGTCCGAAAGTAACCCGTCAGGTAAGTCGTTTTGGCCGAATGTAAGTCGTAAGTAACATGTTAGGTAAGCCGTTACGTCCGACCCCGGCGTGGCGCCGCCGCCATCGGGTGGACACGCGTACGTGGCGCTCAGCCTCGCGCCAGGGTCGGAATCGAGCTCCTAAGTTCACTTTCGGACGGCCCAGCAGCCCCGAAAAGAATCTCCTAGAAGGTAACTTACCGTAAAGTTGAAGTAAAATTGAAGTAAAATTTGCCAAAAACAGCCTCCTAGGCCTGGTTCGCCCCAAAAGAATCTCCTAGCCCTCGCCGGGCCGGGGAAAAGAATCTCCTAGGCCTCGTTAGTTCACTTTCGGTTAGAAAGTGAAATCAGCCTCGATTCCGACTCTGGCTCGCGCACGCCGGAAATCTCCAAAAACAGACATTTTCGGACATAACTTGTGCCAATCGATGACCTAGCATGATCGGCTGCGGTTCCGGAGCCCCAGATGAACGTTCATCACGGTGCGCTTGAGTCTGAATCACTACTGGGAGCATGTTCTGCAGGTTCTTCGAACGCAGTAACTTTGACAGATTCCTCATCATCCAGTGCGTTATAATCGAGTTGATCTGCGTCATCGTCTGATATTCCTAGGTCAATCATTGTGCCGGCGCTTTTGGCTGTGCCGGCACACGCCCAGGCCCCGGCCCCGTCGACTTGGGGCCCGACCAAACGTGCCGGCACACCGACACAACGCTATTTCTGGTTGTGCCGGCACACTTCGCTCCGCTAGATCTGCCGGCACACTGTACCGGCACAAGATACGCCCAGCAGGGGGTAGACGCGCGCGGAATTTTTTTCCGGTCTCCAGCCTCCCTTTAGGCCCCACTCGACCCGACTAATATCCCGGCGCGGCTAGCATAACGCAGATAGTCCCGACCGCGCGGCTGGCGCCTCAAAAAGTTTTGCTTCCACCTTGGCTCTGCAGGCCACTTGCACCCGGCGAAGTCGCATGTCGGTGTCGTGCGTATAAATCTTGTAGCAGGCCGGGCATGGAGTTTGCGGCTCTCGACTCTGCTGAGAAAGCGAAGTTTGCGCGAAAAATCTACGCGTTGCTTGGACTCGGTGTGGGTTGTGGGGAGGCGGCCGTGAAGAAGGCTTACAAGAAGGCGAGTCTACAATACCACCCGGACAAGCAGCGCGGCAAGACCGCCGGAGAACAGGAGGTGGCGGCGTCGATGTTCCTCAAAGTAAAGGAGGCGTATGAGATGCTCGGCAACGTTTCGATGCGCGAGGCGCTAGATAGCGCGGTCTTTTGCGTGGAGAGGGCGCAGCGCGCCCACCAGCAGCGAATGGCTGCCATGGGATCAACGCGTAGAAAATTTCGCGATGAACTCGAGCGGCGTGAGGCGGCGGCGCGTGATGCAGTGGGAAGCGGGGGCGGGGGTCTGGCGTCTTCAGCCGTCGTGTGCCGAGACGGTGTCGATGGCGCAGAGGCATTGGCACGTGCAGCGAACGCTTCACGCGCTGAGGGGCTGTCCAAGGCCGTGCGCACAGCGGCTAAGCAGCGCCGAGCGGCGCGTGATACAGGATCCGATATCGACCGGGATATACGGCTCGAGCGTCTGCGCCAGTCGGTCAAGGTCCGGTGGGGTGCTCGAGCAACCGGCTGGACGGATGATAATTTGCGCGACGCGTGCGCTCCGCTTGGTTCCCTCGTCGCCATCGACCGTGGTGAGAGCGGCAAAAGTGCGATCCTTGTCTTCGCCTCTGATATCCAAGCTACGCTCGCCACCGTCGACGAGACATTCTGCGACCTCTTCAGAGACGTCCGACTTCTGGCCCCCGACGCGTGGGAGCGGGTCCAGCGCGCCATTGCCGATAGGGCTAGAAAAGACCGTGATGAGGCGCCAGATTTGTTCAACTCTCAAAGAGGGGATGATAAAGACCCAACGATACTACTTCGCCGCGCGCACGAGCGAGCCGACATCGAGGCAACGCTCCGACGTGTAGACGCTAGCGGCCACCATCAGTGCCAAAATGCTCCCGAAGCGCATCGGATAAACCGGAACCAGTTCTCGCCTGTGGGAAAACGACGGCGCCTCGAAGCGGCCTCAAGCCGCGTTAGCGTAGTGACGACTTGATTCGAGCACACTTGAATTGACTTGAAATGGGAGGAAAAAAAATAGCCTCGTCTCTCTTGTCGAAGCGTGCTTAGTACTTCAAACGCTCGGAGAGAGAAACAATCGCTCGCTCATCAGACCAGCGGCCAGACTACAAGACAGAGGCATGGAGCACAGGCCCTCGGACGTTATTCGAATTCCAATGTAGCAGCCACGGCTTCTAGCGAATTCAGGCATGAGGAGCTGGCGGTGCTGAGGAACTTGCAGGGCGCTGTGGCCCGCGAGCGAAGAGATGCCCTGTCGCGGTGAGGTGCAATTGCGCTTCATTTTGTTCAAGCCGGTCTTCAGTAGCCTGGTACTCAGTGCGAAGCAATCGGTGCGACTTGCGTTGAAAGAGTGTCGACTCTCATCGTAACTGACAGAACCCGCGTACTTGTAGCGTCCTGGCGATCCCGTGCATCCATGCGACGCACTCATGCGTGTGGGTTTTCAATGAAACCAACTTTCATTGGACTCAGCATGCAGCCCATCATTCGGGAGTTAACTATCATGCTGCGTCGATGAAGAGGAATTTCCCTCGCATTGATGCTCACACATCCAAACAGACGGAGGAGCAGACTTCCAAACAGACGGAGGAGCAAATGCGCACTAGAGGGCTCCTTAGCTTATCGTGATCACCACCGAGTTAGCCTGCGGGAAATACGACGCGTTCAAGTTTGGGGCCCGCCCGGGGCCCAGTGGGGGAAACAACCATAGGGATGGCGCCGGGATGGCGCGCACCATGGGAATTATTGTTCGTTATTCGGGGCCTCCAGGCCGGAGGTCCTCATACTAGTCCGACTTAATCTACTGTGCGCTTCAGTTGCGAAGGACCCAGTGGCGGGATCGAGCGAGAGTTGGCTTTTATACAAAAGTGAACTTTTGGTAAAGGCCCGGCACTCGACCCCGGCGCCGGCCGTAGCGCGTGACGACGGGTAGCCCAATGGCGGCAACGCGGCGAGGCCGCTCCTTACCCGACCCGTCGCGCGTGGAAAAAGGGCCGGGGGGACAAGACTCGGTGGAAGTCCGTGCAGTGGTGGCGACCGCGCTCGCGCGCAGTGGCCGCGGTGTGCTCGAATCGATCTGTGATGCACATCTCGACCTTCGTGGTCGCGTTCTTGCGTCCGATCTGGTCCATGGGTCCGTCCGACCTGCCTGGAGGCCCCAACACTAACGTGAGCAGCCCCTTGGCCAACCAGGTACACTCGATGACGCTGTGCGCCATGCAAGTCGTTCGAGGCCGCCGCGCGAATGGCTCCGGTCACGGCGCGGTCCATGGCGTGGCGCTGTGCTCGCCGACATACTAGAGCGTGGTACTTGCCGCTCGGCTGCCCGTGGTGCCACCCTGGGGCTGCTACAGAGGCACTCGAAGCTGTGTAACCACTGGGAATCGCCGCTCCGACGCCCAAGCGTTCGACGACACAGCCAATTCCCGCGAGCAGAGCACCTCCGGAGTCACCCATGGGCACGAGGTGTCCACCGCCGCCACCTAGGCTCCAAGCGTCGCGCTCCACGAGCAGCTCAGCGCGAGGGGCTGCCTCTCGGAGGACGAGCGCTGGCGCCGAGTCGAGTGCAACATCAGCTCAGTTCGAATCGACCAATGGGAAGCTCGCATTCGCGCGCGCGCGGCGACGCCATGGCCTCGATTCCGAGCCGGCCACCTCGGCGCATGACCCCAGCAGCCCCCACGGACTACCCTACGAGTCCGCCGGCCGAGTCGCCGCCATTGGGGCGTCGCGGAAGGCGACCCCCCGACGCGGGTGCCGGCCCTGTCTTTTGGTTAATTTCGACCCGGCTTTTGATTAATTTCGACCCGGCTTTTGATTAGTTTCGGCCGGCGCTCGAGCTTGGCCTCGTAGTATACGGGGGCCGGGGCTACTGGACGAACGGGCAGAGGATCTGCCTCACTAGGTCCAGGAAGACTCTCCGTCTATTACAGTGCGGGGGGCAACTATAACAGGGTTAGAAAGTATTGAGGAGGGAAAGGATATTGGGTGGCTCTGTACCAGCGAGCCACTAGGGAGATACAAAACTCTCTATCTCTCCAGCGACGCCCTTCAAGCCTCCCCGCACCGTCTTATTCCCCGGTACTCTGATTTTACTTTTATTTTTCCCTGATGAATCCCATCCTTCATCGCGCAAATCGGCGTCGATGGCGGCTCGCTTTGGCGCTTCGAAGTCGGCGTGTGTATCTGGTTTGCGTCGTCTACTTTTTAGCTGGTCGTAAGAGCATGAAGGACGTGAGAGCATGGCGTCCGATTTTTTCCACGGGAGAGCTTGCTGCTGGGCCGCGTTCGAGAGGAGTTGACGGGCGGGGGCGGGGACGCACCGCCCGAGTATGGTCGAGACAGAGTCTTTCAGCTGGACCTAAAGGCGGTTCCGGCCTCGGAACCGGTGCCCTGAGGGGCGCTAAGCCTTAGGTCCAGCGATCTCGTCCCTGTTTCGACGGTAAAGGGAGCCGCTGCGGGCCGCGGCGGCGCCCGAGCCCGACCAGACGAGCTCGACCATATCGAGCCCCGCGACCTGACCCTTGCACCGAGGCGATGCGTGGGTGACGATGAACGATCTCTGGTGCTGCGAGAGCTCAAATCTAGCTCGAAGGGGTCGGGGAAGCCGAACGCGCCCCATCCCAGCCCATAAAACCTCTCGTTCGCGTCGCCCCGCAATCGGCTCGATGTCGAGTTTTCGCCGTTGCCTCGTCCGTACGCGCGCGGTCAACAAAGCCAATGGGATCGTGGTACGTCGTTGCATTATGGCTGGGCTGTGGGCCTGAGAAGCTGATGGATTCTCCATCGCACGCTCGCCCTGACGAAGTTCGTTAAAGCTGAGGCGGCGGAATCGATTCCCTCGCCTGGTCTTTTGTCCTCCTGGTGCGATCGCACCAGGAGCAACTCAATCTAAACCAGCCGTTCAGTAGGCCGATGTCGCCGCCACAGCCTGAGCGGCTTGATTGAGGATAATCAGGGAAAACGTGCTCGAGGTTTCGAGCGAGTGCAGCCGGTAAACATGGGCTCAGACGTATCTGCGCTATAACTAAGTAGATATTGCCGCTCACTCTCGCCTAGGGAGAGCCCTAGGGGAGCCCCCTCATGGGAGAGTACCAGCCAGGGTGGCTAGGTGCCCTTCCTGAACGGGGACTATCGCCCTACGCGAGTGTAATTATAGTGCGCTTCAAGTTGGCGGAGTAGTTGGTGATAAGCCAGCTAACTAGGGAGCCTACATTCCACTCCCTCAGCTATGCAGCCCCAAGTCGGGACTATGATGTCCTCCCTATGCTGCGACGCTCATACTGCGCTATTCGCCTAGAGCACTAGAGCATTAAAGGAGAGCATCGTGACGCACTCACTTAGCTCATCCGAGGACGCCGGTCCCCCCTCACAAAGGTTAATCTAGGACAGCTCGCGTCGGCGAAACGGCGCCACGGGGCGCGCGAGCATGCCCCCAAGCGCCAAAGCAACAGCAGCCATTGAAATTAAAAATAACATGAAGCCACGATGAAGGCCAACGGTTGTCACAGGGGTTGTCAGCCGCGAGTTCAGCCGTCCTGCACAACGCTTCTGCTCGTGCATCGATGCAGCGATGCTAAGATTTGGCGCTGCGCTCGATCTGTGGACCGTGCCGCGCCTCGGGGCCCGCAGCGAATCGCTCGGGAAACGCCATCGGTCGAAGGCGACCAACTTAGCTCGCGTCGGGGCAGCCCATGGATGATGAGAACGGCCATTGACGGTGAACGGCGGTCGATGGGGGGCCAACCTCGTACCAGGGGTCGAGCTGGCAGCGAGAGTGGGAGGTGACATCCCCTCGATTGTCCTTCTCGACTGGCCCGGCAAGGACTGCGCTGCCAGCTCGGAACATGCGTTCCGCGGTCAGCGCCGTGGCATTCGCGACGCTCGCGCCTCTCGGAGTCGATGAGGTGATCTCGATCAAATCGACTCGAGCCGGAAAGCTGCCGCGAACGCATCTGATCGCCCTCATGACGAACGATTCCCGACGCTCTGTGGCTCGAATTTGACTCAAAATCGGGTCAGGGGAAGCTGCCGCGCCTCGTCCCACCCCCTGAAGCGGTCCGTTTGCATCGCCTCACAATCGTCCGGATGTCGCGTCTTCGCATGTGCCTCGTCCATATGTTTGCGGACCTCAAAGCTGCTGGGATCGTTGCACATCGCTGCATATTCGCGGAGCGCGGGATGTCCAACCAGTTGACGAAGCATCGGCAGCTGACGAATGCGCTCGGATAGCTTCACGTTGTCGTCATGTTATTTTTAATTTCAATGGCCACCATTGCTCTGGCGTCCGTGATTTTTCTCGCCGGCCTGGGGCGCCGCGCGCCGCCGTCAGACACCTCAGAAATAAAAAGTTACGTCCGTCAGTACTCCCGGAATCCGAGATAACATACGGGGTACGTCCGAGCTACTTATATGCACTAGGACGTGGCTACTGCGCTATGCTGGCTATACTGAGTCTGCCTTATGCTGACTATGCTATGCTGTGTTGAATGCTAGCATATTCGGATTCTAACACGGTATATTCTTTTTCTTTTGTATCCTTGTATTGTATCGCCATTCGATATTCTATTTGGTATTCAGGCGCTGTACTGGCCGCTGGGATCGCTCGATCAACGGGGGACTCGGCTGATTGCGGATTGACAGATGTGACCCCGGGAAATAAACGACGTGGTTGGCTTTGGTTTCTTCGCTCATGATGGATTATGCGCTGGTCGTGGGCTTGACAAACACTGCGATTATTATTATTTTTTAGAATGGTAGTGTCATTGGAGAGATCGAGCAACTAACGTATCAGAAAGAGTCGTCCGGGAGCGACAAAAGCCGGTCTCTCGTGGCATGGGCAAAAGATGGGAATGTCCTTTGTCGCAATCTATCTAGCTCTTGTCTTAAGAAGTCGATTTCTTCTGTCTGGAGCCGTGCCTATATGCGGTGAATGTTAGCAACGTGCTGCACCAAGCAGCGCACCAGATCAATCAACCTTCGTCGCAGTGTGATCCGCTTCATGTTGTTTGTTGTGCGTCGCT